GGAGAGCATATGGAGGCTCACCTGAGCGAGCGTTGATCCGAAAATGTGAGGAGCCCTCCAGGGAGTAGATGATGGACTCCTGTCCGTACTCCCTGGACCGGTCCATGTCTGTGGCATTGAGAAACAGTACCGTGGCTCCTTGAGGGAAGCAGAATTGAAGGCCTGGGATGAGGCACTTGTAGCCTGGAGTGGCTCTCCCCAGCTGCCCCATCCTCCACATCACTCCTGCAGGTCCCCTCGCTTGCATGCACAGCGGAGCCAAACCCCCAGATCACCCCATTCTGGCTGTAAAATCCCCAGGGCCCTTCTCTGAGTCAGAAGAGGGAGCAGGGCAGTGCTCTGTACCTGCCATGATGTCCTCCATGACCGTTATAACATAGGAGGGCTTGCTGAACGTGGGGGGGTTATCGTTTTCATCCTGAAGCAAAGAGAAGGTCAAGAGGCTGCTTGGAAAAAATGCAAAACGGTCAAACAGTTGCAAAAGTCCAGTACAGGGATGCTCCTGGCCAGCTGCACCCCAAGACATCAGCGTGGGAACGATGGTCTCAGGGGTGAAGGCACCAGAGGTCTGAGTACATGGTTTCACCGCAGAGGCAGCTGGGGTTAAGGGAAATCGGTTGGCAGTGACTTCACCAAGCCGTGGGGACAACACTGACCATCTTGTTATCTGGCATCCTGGGCAACACGCAGCAAGTCTGAGGAACACCCGCTGGTTGCAACCAAGCGTTCTCTGAGCTTCTCCTGCCTCCACCACCAGCTCAGGGAGGACTTCAGGCACAGCACAAACCACAGCAGCAGCATGCACAGATCCACTCCTCCCTCTCGGAGCAGGACACAAGTAGCTTAACACTCTGGGTCACTCTGGCCACAAGGCCACTAGACAGACCAGACCTGCCAAGGGGAGCTGCTGAGCTTTGGCTACCTTTGTTCAAGTGGAGAGAAGCTGGGGACGTTTGCAGAGAGAGCAGCTACAGCATTTCGGGCAGGGAGGGAGCTGGTTTGCAGACCAGGGAGTTCCCGCCAAGCTAGTCTCTGCCAGCCTCTCTGTCCAGCCTGGTGACACCAGGAAGGAGCAATTGCTCGAGACATCCCTCAAAACAGATTTCAGATGGTTTAAAGGTCCCCCCAGGGGGGCTTTAAATGCTGTTTAAACAATGTTAAGAATCTGCCTTAAATGAGCCAAACCCAACCGCCTACAGAGGGAAGGACGGAGCTGCCAGGACATTAAAACACCGTTATGGACTTTGCTGCATCCCTGGGACTGCTCTGGAGATGTTTTCTACCTGGAGACCACTGATGGACCTGCAGGCTCAGCTGCTCCTGCTGTCACCGAACTTGATATTTGAAGCAATTTCACGTGCCAACGGTGCCCGTCGTTCTGCAATTAAATTAGATGCTCTGCTCTCGTTGCTGGAAGCAGGTGGCCTTTAATCAGCTTTTGCATCACTCAGCTTTCACTACACCTCCTCCGAGGCTAATGAGGAAATTGCTGGCTCTCCAAGGTGCTCTCCTCACCATCCCTCTTCTTCCTCGCAGAGTTGGGTTGGAGTCATCTCCCCAGGGCAAACCCAGGAGATCTGGGCAGGTCGAAGGCAAGGAAAATCAGAAGGTTTGAGCATGTATCCACACGCTGGATTCGGGTGAGCTGTGCTGTGGTCCAGGCTGGGTGGACACAAGCCAGAGCAGACGCTGTGCCATCTCGTTAGCGGTCCTGAGCTCATCAGGCCATGCCCAGCACTGTAAGCCAGCGGAGAGGGAGAGGGCATCCAGCTAAAAACAGCTTCCCACATTCCCTCGACCTTCAGCCTTCATCTCGACACCCTCAGACAACCATCAAATCATCTCCAAGGATGCCAAAAAATTGCGGATGCTCGCACTAAGCACACGACCCCCTTTTCCTCCCGGCGTACACACGCTCTGAGGCACTGGCTCATTGCCCCAAACAGGGCGTCAGCGGCAGGGAGCGAGGCAGAAACTTATTAGCGGTGATATTTCCCCGGATCCTGGCGCTGCGCATGCTATTAGTTCTGATTCGGCAGTTCCCTCTACAAAAGCGTATTGTCCCCTAATGGGAAATCTACAAGGCGAGTTTGACTTCTTTATTAAAAACCAACAACCAAAGGATGGGAAAAAAAAAAAAATATATAAAATTACCTCCCTCCGCACTCGCTCTCGTTCTGCCTTTTCACGGCTCTTGTTCCTCAAGTGCCGTTGTGAAATGCTTCCTTCTCGTTTTCTTCCAATTTTCTGCCTTTTTTCCCCCTCTTCTTTTTCCAGTTGAGAGAAAAGCCCTTTGGTTGGGAGAAGTGACAGCTACTTAAAACCCACCAGTGTACAGACTCAACCCGGAGGAGATGACCCACTCAAGTGTGGTCTATAAAAAGAGGTGTTTATGCTGTCTGAAGCATAGTGTGGAAAGGACGTATTTAGCCACCACTTGCGCTCCCGGTGCTGCCTCATTCCCCTTTTCCCAAGCACAGTGAGGAAGTTCGAGGAGAGGCACGCTCGTGGGACTTCATTCTCATCCTACGGCACCGTGGATTACATCTTCTTCGCCTTCCCAGACTGACGCTGCCACCAGCCCGGCTCAGCTCCCATAACCGTGAGATTGACGGGTTATCAAGCAAACTGTCTCCATCGCTGATTCCTCCCTCCAGACATCCTCGAACCACACAACGCGCCTCAAAGTGACAATCCGATCTAATCTTCCTGAGGAACGCCGCAGCGCGTTACCTCTCCCAGCAGCAAGCCCTCCTTGAGGAGGTTTGCATCTCTGCCGGCGCGCGAGACGCACGGCAAAGCCCGCAGCCCAGTCGGGACAGCCGGTGTTGGGGAGATAAACAAGCAAGTGCCGGTGATTGATTCAGGGACTAACGATTCCCGACACCACAAGTGCTAACGTGCAGCCAAACCCCTTTCCTCTGTATCTGAGCTGCAGCGAGCACCTCTGGCTACAGAGAGCATCCCAGCTGGGAGTTCCCTGCAAGCTGACAGAAGGGCTCACCAGGTGTTCAGCAAACCTCTGGGGTTGAAAACATGGGCAAGGGGTAGATCTCCACTCCATCCCCAGCTCTACTCCTCATCCTGGGCTTAGCTGGAGCTTCTACCATGTCCCCTCCAGCCACTTCCCCATGCTTCATGGCCAAGGAGAAGGCTGAGGTGCGTGGGGTCAGGACAATCCCTCTGTGCTTGTCTGCTGTGACACCCCCTCAGAGACACTCTTACTTGCCTTCTGTTACTCAGACCTTACCAAAGGTCAGGGACAGCATTTCTTTAACCCATAATTGCGACACATACGCACACAAGAGATACCTGACACACACATATATAAATATATAAGAGACACCCAGCTGCAACCCAAGCATACACATCCATGAGGCGGGATGGTCATGCTGGATTATGGACAAATTAATGTCACCACTACGGAAAAATTGCTGGCAAACCACGGTGGGCTCCTCAGGGGCCGTACTTACAAACACCTCGATGGTGACAGGGACGGTGCTGTTGAGCGGTGGGTTGCCGGCATCCTTGGCCATCACAGTGAGGTAAATAACCCCGTTGGCCACCTGCTCGTAGTCGAGGGGATGGTTCACGCTGATCACTGAAAGGATGCAAAGCAGGGCGGGTCAAGGGGACGTGCAAGCACCAAGCGTGACAGTGGGCAGGCTGGGGAGGGGGTGACCCATGTTCACCAGAGCCAACAGCGCCCGCTCAAGGTGGCAACGCCTCACAACCACGAATGCCAGGCACTACTGAGCTCCTTGCACTGGCATAACCCAGTGGGAGCCGTACACCCACAGAAACACGGCTCCGCAGCCGCCTGGGTCAAGGCCCGCC